GTTTTTGATCAAAAGCGTATTTCAGAAGTTTTTAGAAAACTTAAGCTTGAATTCGATGTGAATTAATGGATTTGATGTTGTTTGAAGTGTTTTGATGATTGGAACAAGTTTGAATAAGGTATTGGGTCATGTTTGTGCTTTTGTTTGAGGCCTCGGGGGCCTCGGGGTGATTTCAGATGGTTGGCGGGGAAATTGGAATTTGTGTTGCAGCTTTAGATTTGCTGCTTCTGGTATTTCCGCATCTGCGGTTTGTGGATCGCAGATGCGGCACCGCAGATGCGGGTGTATCATCGCAGAAGCGAAAATGGGCCAGGCAAGCTGAACCGCAGAAGCGGCTAAAGGGATCACATCTACAGAAGCGCAGATGCAGAAGTGGTTCGCAGATGCGGCTTAGGCCGGTTTAATGAACTCCGCAGAAGCAGATGTGTTGACCGCATATGCGGTACCGCAAAAGAGGATTTTGGACCACAGATGCGGTAATGTCTGGGCAGAATGTATATATGTCTTCCTTCGCGATTTTTGAAGGGTTTAACCATTTTTGCACTCGGAATTGGGAGCTTTGGGCAATTTTGAAGAGAGGAATCAAAGAGACTTTGTTGAGGTAAGGATTTTGGACTTAAAACATATTCATATAGTAGAATTTCATGAATTTAGGGCTGCAACTAATGGGTTTAAAGGGCTAAAACTGGAGGATTAGGGCTTGAGTTTAAGAGGCCTTTAATGGAGGATTTGAGGGGTCATTTGAACTCCGATTTTGATGTTGTTGATATGTATAAACTCGTGGAAGGATAAGGAACCCGTTGACGTAAAAATTTCCGAGTTTCGAGAAGTGGGCCTGGGGCTCGGGTTTTCGGTAATTTCGGGATTTGTGCCCGTTACTGATTGTTTTCGCTTGGGCTTTGTTCCTTTAGCATATTGTGATGCATCCGTTCTGATTTTGGATAGATTCGACGCGCGTGGAGGCCGATTTGAGAGACAAAGGCAGAGTGATTCTTTTACCGCGTATTTAATTGAAGCTTATTTGTTATCATCATTATTTGGACTGATTGCCGTATTTGGGCTTCATGCCAACTATTTGAACCCTCTGGGGAGTTTTATCATTATTTCCTCACTGTTTTGACTTACTACTTGAACTTAATCGTATCATTTTTCCACTATTTTACAATTCAGCCACTTTTTACTCAGTTTTGAAACTAAAATGATATATTAAATGATGTTTTGGGCTAAGAACTACTGTTTTACTAATGCCCGAGTTGCTTATATGATTTCTGGACTGAGTACGACCAAGGGCCAGATGTGAGGATACCATGGGATCGGGCTGCGCGCCGCAACAGTGTTATAATGATATTGATATGAGGCCGAGGGCCTAGATTTGATTCCACGAGATGGCTTGATCTTGCGCTTGGGCCGTAAGGGGCCCCTCCCAGAGTCTACACACCCCTAGTGAGCGCCGTCGATGATAAATATACGGATCGGGCTGCATGCCGCAGGCGGTACTATAAGGTACCGTTCTATGTGTTGATTTTCGTTATATGTCTATCACTTAACTGCTTATTTGTTGTAGCATCTCCATATTTCGTTTCCATTGGTTTATTGTTTTCATATTACTTGTTTAAACTGCTGCATTATAGATTACTCTGTGATTTCTGTGATTTCTTATTCTCAGTCATTATTTATGTGTAATACTCACTGGGTCGGAGTACTCACATTACTCCCTGCACCTTGCGTGCAGATCCAGGTGTTCCAGAGGCTGAGTGAGGATATTCAGTCGATCAGTTCATATCCGGGAGCATTGAGGTAGCTGCACGGCGTCCGCAGCCCGGATCTCTCCCTTATATCCTTTCATTTTATCCGCATTTCCTAAACTGATTATGTATTAGGCTGTTAAACTTGTGCTAGAGGCTCGAGACTTGTGACACCAGATCTGTATGGGTTATGTAGTGGTATTATCATCTGAATTTCCGCATATTTGACTCGTTGTCCTAAACTTTTATTATGATAAATTGGCAATTTAACTATATTAGCTAATAATGAATTGTATAAGAAATGGGTCGAGGTTGTTAGTTGGTCAGGCTTGCCTAGCAGTGTGTTGGGCGCTATCACGACCATGGTTGGGGTCGTGACATACAGACATTACAGATATTCTCGAAGGATTTGAACGTTTCACACAATCGCCTCCCAAAAATATTTTCGCAATTGTGCCACAAGTGTTGCCCTCCACAATATGGACAAGGATCACAAAAATAAGAATAACCACTATTCAAATAATTTTCACTCCAAGATGTCATGCCAAGAAAGTTAAAGTAGTATTAACGGGCAGTCCGGTGCACTAAGCTACTGCTATGCATGAGGTCCGGTAAGGGTCGGACTATAAGGTTCTATTGCACGCAGTCTTACCCTTCATTTATGTAATAAAGAAGTATTAAAGTAAACTAAAAATTAAAAAACTTGAATAAATAAAAAGTAAAAATCTAATATAGAAAAATAAATAATTCCTAAGTCCTCGGCAATGGCGCCAAAAAATTGTTGCTCACAAACGCACGTGAAAGTATACGTAATCGACAAATAATAAAGTAATGAGTAGAGTATCGTTCCCACTAGGACTTGTGATTAACTATCAACTAAATTAAACCCAAACAATTAATCTATTCAAACGATTTTCTGAAGTGTGATTATTTAATTATAACTAATCTAGAGTAGTAAACTAAGAAATTAAAGAAAACAGTTTAGGAAGCTAAATACTGAATTCAATGAGAGAAAATATTTCAGGACTATAGGTCAACTAATACCGTTGAGTTTTCCATTAAAATTGACTAATTAATTTATCTAATTTATTGATTGACATGGTTAATATTACTTGTAGCATTTTCAACTTAACCTAATGCTTATATTCTATGGAGTTAGAATTAACAAGAACACATTAATAATTCATGTATAGTAACCAAGCAAAGCGATTAGGTAAATTACTATTCTAACCACGAGTTTGTTCCCCGATATGCAGGTTTAAGAACTTGCTCTACTCAATCCTATATGTAATCTAGAATTCCCACTTTCGAGTTCAATCCTAGATTTATAGAAGTATTCAATTGGTGATCAAGATTGGGGATTCAAAATTTTTTTTTTGTAGCTAGTGGGAACTGAACCCACGACCTTATGTAGATTTTGAACCTCCTTAACCACTAAACTACACTTTTGGATTGTGTTAAGGGTGTTCAAAACTTAATATATAGAGATAAAAAATAGATTTTGCCTTATATATAAAGTGTAATTTTTTGGCGAAGGGTGTTCGGGTGAACACCATTGCGCCCCCCTAAATCCGCCCCTGGTAGCACCCACAACTCTAAAACTAATAAACTATAAAATTAAAGAAAGAGAGGAGAAGAAAAACTAGTTGAAAGCTTTCACAAGCATGGCCTGCGTTCTCTGCCTTCGAAGTGTCGTTCCCTCCCAAAATTAGGTTTAGAAACCTTTTATATTTAGGAGCGTGTCGGACCAAAATGACCTTCTCCGAATTGAAATAGGACAATTCTCGAAAGTCACCACGTTGGGGTCCGCACCGCACTAATATGGGCACTGGCCTCTTGAAAGTTCTGTATCCAGCTAGCCACAAGTAGCGCCAAGCGCTTGAATGGACGCTGAAATTCTGCACTTGTCCATTTTTCTTCTTTTTCTGCTTCAACTTGCGCACGTTCACTCCACTGCACCCCCAATTAATTCCCATATATATAAAATACCCCAAATAAGCTAAACTCATTGCAATACACATAAAAACCAATAAAAAAAGAGTAAAATATGAGGCGATTTGCATACAAAAATATATACTGTATCAAAACTTAACACTCTCTATTATACTAGTATTACACTGTGATATAATAATTTTCTTTCAAAAAATGAGGATAAATTAACGCGATAAGTCACATAAACTATTACGAAACAGTTTACCATGTATTTCGTGCTCCTGCAGATATTTCTTCTTTGTGGGCAAATGATAAAGAAATGTGACGTTTACCAAACTGGGTCGTGTGCATGTTATATGGATAAGTTGTTTGATAGTAGAATTTAAGATATATCATTTGAAAGAAAAGAACTCCAACAGGGAATCGCAAGTTCCACAATTGTTGAGAAATGAATCTTTAGAATGTCCATCTTGATAGGTTTGGTAATTGATTTGAGGAACTCACATATATAATCTTTCCCTTCTTGTGGCTAATTCATAATTTAAAAACGCCTTAAATATAATTCTGAATCACGAAAAATAAATATAGATAAAATTTGATTCAAAATAATGTTCCTGATAAAATAATATTAGTTGGTATAAGTCAATTTTTCTATTTTGAAAGCAGGCGACTCAATGAAAACTATTAAACATGTTCTCTTTCCAAAATTTTAAGCTCTACAAATTTACATTCTATATTGTTGATCGCAATTCATTCATGACGCCCTAGAATTCTATAAACAAACACTACAGAGTAGTAGGAGGAAAATGTGAAAGACCAGAAATAGATAGGCAGGAGATTTGTGATACGAGCAAACTTCCGGAACAAGGCTAGACAGATGAATTAACCATTTAAAATTTTGTTTTCTCAATTTTAATTTTATCTAAGCACTACTTTGGAAAAAAGTCAACACATCCTTTTCTTTTCACATTTTAAATATGGAAATAATTGACTGAAGCATGAAATGAGGGCCGTTTAGACATCGCAAATCTTCCCAAATAATTTGCGTGGTCCTCACTTCTGAACTTTTCTTTCTTTCTTTTATAACCTTGAGTTAGGTTTAGAAAAACTTTGTCGTGAACAAAACAAAATTTCTTAACACCAACAATCATCCAAACATGTTTACGTTAGAGAATCTTTCCAGAAAGTATTCCATAACTTACAATATATATATATATATATATATACATAAAATATAGTAATATAAACATATACATATACATATAATGATTACACATGTATTACTATATTGCATATATACTAAAGAGGTTAAAAAATATTAACCTCTGAGTTCTCCCCAACAGCTACATCACTTTGTGTTTGGATTTTGGGATTATCGTGCAAGTTGGGCTCGGATGACATTTGAATACCACCATCATGTCTCCCGGTATATTTCTTTATTTGGTATACCTTTTCTGTATTGTGATTGGCTTTAACATGTTCAAAAATCTTTTTGAAATTTTCATTAATCAATGTTCGCAGAGAAGTGAACTCGCCCATCACCTAATCGATACACAAACAATTAGAGTGGGGTTAGAATTATACTTGCATGAAAGTTAATACATAAACTGTAAAGTTGAATATGTTTTAACATTACTACATAATCTTTGAATGAATTTAGATCCTTCCTCAAAGAAGACAAATCATATGATTTAGAATCTGCTGGCTTCTTAATATGTAATATAGTTTCCTTGATTTCAGTCTTACCAGTAGGAGGAAACTTGGTTTGAGGTATTACAGACACATGTGAAATTGGACTCTCTGCAGTTGAGGGATCAATTAGCTGTTGTTTGCGCTTTTTGTGAGGTGGTGATGAAGATGGACCAACACTTGCATCATGTTTCTTCTTAGGCTAGTGGAAGTGTAGGATAAAGTCATCCGAATCATCTTCATTGTTGTCTGAATGAATAGGACTTTTGTCTACATCAACGCCTTCTGGAGGAACCTGAATAACAGCAAGCTCTATATAGTTTGGTTGAATGTTTTTGTAAATGACACTTGATGTATGATTACAAATGTAATATGATGAAAAATTATCTATATACATATATTCAATTGTATTGTATACAAAATTATGCACATTCAATTAAACGTGTATTTGTAAACAGTTTTATGTATTCTATTATATTCTAGTTAATTTGGAAAACAATGACATTGATGTATGTTGTATGCAACTGTATTTAATTTTTAATTCTAACATTGTATTAAGTATTCTTGTCACGACCCAACTTTTCCTTCATTTAGGTATCGTGNTGGGGGAAGGGGGTTGAGGCGAGTAGTATTTTCCTAAAAAATATTTTCTACTCTCTGACCACAAATAATAGAAAATATTTTTCAAAAAAGTTTTTCACTCACCAACCAAACAAGAGAATGGGGGAAGGGGGTTGAGGCGAGTAGTATTTTCCTAAAAAATATTTTCTACTCTCTGACCACAAATAATAGAAAATATTTTTCAAAAAAGTTTTTCACTCACCAACCAAACAAGAGAAAATAAGTGATAAATTCACTCATTTTCCATAAAAATATTTACTAGAAAAACATTTTCTGTGGAACCTTCGTACCAAACACACCTTTATGCCTACAGATTTGCTAGAAATTTCCTGAAAGAATAAGCCAAGAAGTAGAAAACCAAAAGAGAAGCATAGTTTGGAACTATCTCCAAAATGACTATGTTTTTAGAAGCTAAAGCAAAATGTGCATTTTTATCCTTTAGAGTTGGCACTACTAGTCCAAGAAAATTGAAGTTTCAATACACACTGCCAATTTATAGCATGTTTGGCCAAAAATTTACTTTTTTTTTGTGGCTAAAAGTACCTTTTTTTTTTTGGTCAAAAATATTTTTTTTTCTAAAGTTAAAATGTTTGGCCACGGTTTTAGAAGGGAAAAAAATATTTTTAAGAAGAAGCAAAAGCTATTTTTGAAAAGTTAGAAAAAGTACGTTTTTTCAAAGGTACTTTTGAGAAAAGTATTTTTTAAAATAAGTTGAGTTTAGAAGCTTGGTCAAACAGGCTATATGACTGGTATATAATTTAGAATCTCTTCTTCTTTTTAACGAGTTCCTCGAAGCAAAAGAATATTTTATAAGCGGATCATTTAATTTTCAACAACAACTCAGTAGAATCCTATACTAGTGGGGTCTGGGGAGGATAGAGTGTACGCAAACCTTATCCCTACCCCAGAGGGGTAGAGAGACTGTTTCTGAGAGACCCTCGGCTCAGAGACAATAGATCCGTAACAACAACAGAAACAAGAAAAATAATATTAGCAACGTAAGAGACAGCAAATAAATGAAAGGAATAACACAAATACTATGCAAAAGTGTGAAACACAATGTAAATCGCTAGCAGTCCTAGACAAAACACTATCAGACTAGCCGGTATATAAAGGAAAGATGCTCGACTACCCCTTAACCTACAACCCTAATGCTCGACCTCCACACCTTACTACCAAGGGCCATATCCTCGAAAATCTGGAGTCGTATTATATCCTGTCTGATCACCTCGTCCCAATGCTCCTTAGGCCGCCCTCTACCTCTTCTCGTACCTTCCAAAGCTAACTGCTCACACCTCCTAACCGGGACATCTAGGTTTCTCCTCCGCACATGCCCGAACCATCTAACTCGCGTTTCCCGCATCTTGTCGTCCACTGGAGCTATGCCCACCTTCTCCTGAATATCATCATTCCTAATCTTATCCATCCTAGTGTGCTCGCACATCCATCTCAACATTCTCATTTCTGCTACTTTCATCTTCTAGATATGTGAATTCTTGATTGGCCAACATTCAACCCCATACAACATGGCTGGTCTAACAACCACGCTATAGAACTTACCTTTAAGTTTCAATGGCACATTCTTGTCACACATGACTCTAAATGCTAACCTCCATTTCATCCACCCAACCTCAATACGATGCGTAACATCCCCATTGATCTCTACATCTTCCTGGATAATTAACCCTTGGTACTTGAAACTTTCTCTCTTGGGGATGACTTGTGAGTCAAACCTCACTTCCACGTCGGCATCCCTTGTCATATCGATGAACTTACACTCCAAATATTTTGTATTAGTCCTACTCAACTTAAAACCTTTAGACTCCAGGGCCTACCTACATACCTTTAGTCTTACATTAATGTCGTTTCGCGTCTTATCAGTCGGAATATATCATTAGCGAACAACATACAACATGGCACCTTCCCTTGAATATGGTCTGTCAGTGCATCTATCGTCAGGTCAAAGAAGAACGTGCTAAGCGCAGATCCTTGGTGTAACCCTATAACTACCGAAAAAAGCTTTGAGTCACCTCTCATAGTCCTAACCCGAGTCATAGCTCCATCATACATATCCTTTATCGCCCTAATATAAGCTACCGGCTAATCTTTCACCTCCAGGCATCTCCACTGAACGTCCCTAGGAACCTTGTCATACGCCTTCTCTAGATCAATAAACACCATATGCAAATTCCTCTTCATATCCCTGTATTGTTCCACCAATCTCCTGATAAGGTGGATAGCTTCCGTAGTAGAATGACCCGACATGAACCCGAACTGGTTTTTTGATATAGACATCGCCCTCCTTACCCTCCCTTCCACCACCCTCTCCCAAACTTTCATGGTATGCCTTAGTAACGTGATACTCCTATAGTTGTTACCATTCTGAATATCACCTACAGTGGAACCATCGTACTCCACCTCCACTCATCTGGCATCCTCTTCATCCTGAAAATAATATTAAACAGCCCAATCAGCTACTCCAAGCATGCTCTACCCATATACCTCCAAAATTCTACTGGAATCTCGCCTGGTCCGGTCGCTTTACCCCAACTCATCTTATGCATACTCCCACGGCCTCCTCAATCTTAATACGCCTATAGTACCTAAAGTCTCGATGACTCTCGGAGTTCCCCAATTCCCCTAGCACGATGTTTCCATCCCTTCATTCAAAAGTTTATAAATGTACAACTATCATTTTTGCTTAATCTGGGCATCTTCCATCAATAATCAACCTTCCTCGTCTTTGATGTACCTCACTTGATCTAGGTTGCAAGCCTTCCTCTCTCTCTATCTCTCTCTCTCTCTCGCTTTGGTCAGCCGAAATAATTTCTTGTCCCCACCTTGCGCCCCACTTCCTCATACAGCCGACCAAATGCAATAGTCTTAGCCTCCATGACCGCTAATTTTGCCTCCTTCCTAGCTTCAAATATATTTCTCCGTACACTCTCCTATGCTCCTCGTCGGTGCTCTCTACTAACTTAAGGGAAGGCCCTTTCTTTGCTTTTACTTTACCTTGGACCACGCCATTCCACCACCAGTCGCCTCGGTGCCTGCCTGAGTAACCCTTCAAGACCCCTAACACCTCTATCACCACCTCTCTTATACATTCTGTCGTCGTCGTCCACATAACGCTAGTGTCTCCACCACTCTTCCAGGTTCTCATAGCCGTCAGCTGCCCCTCCAACTTCCGCACATTATCCTTAGTCAAAACTCACCATTTGATCCTAGGTTGATCCCACACAAATATCTTCCTCTTTACCAAGATACCGATATCCATTACTAGGAGCCTATGTTGTGTCGCGAGGTTCTCACTCGGGATCACCTTATAATCCTCACACAACCCCCTATCACACCTTTTGAGGAGGGGATAGTCAATCTGAGTGTTAGCCACCATACTCCGGAAAGTAACCAAATGCTCCTCCCTCTTCGGAAAAATAGAGTTCACGATCACCAACTCAAAAGCTCTAGCGAAATCCAATAGTGAAGTATCACCTTTGTTCCTATCCCTTAAGCCGAAGCCACCGTGCACCTCTCCATAGCCAGCAGTAAATGACCCAATATGACCATTGCAATCCCCTCCTATGAATAACTTCTCCGTAGGCGAAATTGTTAGATTTGATTTTAATGATGCAAATAATATATCTGTGTAGGAACTCATGGATAGCAATTGAAGGAATCAATTAGAGAAGATCAAGGAATCAAGGAGTAACTACGAGATGGAAGCAATCAATCAGGGAACTTAAGGAAAGCAATCCGAGATTAGCGAAGATCACGAAATCAATGGACAGTTACGAGATAGAAGGAATCAAGAGAAACAATACTGGATTAGAGTAATCAATCAAAGCCAAGACATAATCAATCAAGCCTAATCTTAAGGAATCAATCAAGTCAAACGTACCCAATCCGGAAGGTGCAAGATCTTGGGAAGCATATATGGAACATCAATCAAGGATCTCGTAATCATAGCCACTGTTGTATGACCTTATTCTTGGAAAGAATCAATTTCTTTCCAAGGATCAAATCTCTTGGGTTGGCAAATCTCTCCAGAAACCAAGCCTCTCTCAAAGTATTTAAACCTATAAATGTACCCTAGAACGATATACTTTGATCGAACCAAAATACCCTCTCTTTATTCTATTACAAACAAACATTGTAGCTCTACCAGATCTGTTATGTAACAAATTAGAGAAGAAAGAGAGAACAACACTGGTGAGGCATTGTATCAAAAAGAAATGAGTGAAATAAGCTCTAAGCGATCGGTGTAGATCACACCATTCTCTGTACTCTCGTAGAAACTCATTCACGAAAAGGAACTCACTTGCAACCCAAGGGGACTGGACTAAGATTCATATTGAATCCGAACCAATATAAAAACTCTGATGTCTTTAATTCTTGCATTTAAATTCTGCATCTTAAATGTCTTTACTAGTATCAAGTTTTTATATCTAGTCGACTAATCGTATAACTAGTCAACTAACAGCGATTAAGTTTAAAAATAAACAATTCACGCCCCCCTCCCCTCTTGTACTTTCAATTGGTATCAGATCAAGGCTCACATTTTTCTTTTGCTTAACACCTCGTGAGAAAAGTTCATGGCAAATCAAGTTATCGTAGGAGCTCTCTTCCAGGAAGGAACTTTACAAGTTAGGCCACCATACTTCAATGGACAACATTTCTCCCATTGAAAAGTGTGTATGGAGATATATGCCAAGACATATGATGTTAAAGTTTGGAGAGTCATCAAAAAGAGGAATTATCCTCTGCCAGCTGCCGCTCAGCCACTTGTTGATCCTGAAGATATAGATTCATATACAAACGAGCAAATGACAGTGGTACAAGTTAACAATAAAATGAGAAACCTGCTTTATAATGCCATAAGTGGTGAAGAGCATAAGAAAATCTCTAGCTGTGACACAGCCAATGAGATGTGGGACAAGCTTGAAGTTACATACGAAGGAACCAGCAAGGTAAAGGAAACACATATCAACATGTTGGTTCATGATTACGAACTCTTTTCAATGAAAGAAGGAGAGTCTATTGAAGAGATGTTTGCCAGATTCAACAAAATAATTAGTGATCTAAAATCCTTCGGCAGACCATATACAAATGGTGATCAAGTTAGAAAAATTCTCAGAAGCCTACCAAATACTTGGCAGGCCAAAGTAGTCATACTTGAATCTCAGGATCTAAATAAACTACCCTATGATGAACTACGAAGAGAACTCATAGCCTTTGAAAAGACACATCTCAAGAAGACAAATCAGGAAGAAAAGAAAAAGAAAACAGTTGCATTCAAGGCCTCAACTGAAATAGCTAAAAATGATATCGATGACGATCCTGAAGCCCTTCAAGAAGATATTGCTATGTTGTCACATGGATGGTTTAATGAGAAGATTCAGGAATAAGAGGAGAGGAAGAATTCCACCTAGGCGATCCAGTCAATACAACGAACAGGAAAAGAATAATGGAAAATGCTATGAGTGTAGAAGATTTGGACACATTCAAGCTAAGTGCCCATATCTAAAAAGGAAAATTTCCAGAGGCTTTAACAAGAACAAATTTTTTGGAAGTTGGAGCGATAAAGACAGTTCAGAACACAAAGAGATAGCAAATTTTTGCTTCATGACGCTTCTGGAAAACGAGATGAACAAATCCTCAAGATGCTGGACGGACGAGGACACTTCAGATGATGAATGCAAAGATAATAATGAGAACTGTTTCATGGAATGAGGTGAAACAAGCGAGGTAAGATCTTATAACTGTGAAAGATGCAATGAATTGCAGGATATTCTTGACTTAACTTTCAAAGAGTCTCAAAAAATGATGAATGAGCTTAAGAGACTAAATAAAGAAGTAAAAGACTAGAAGCTCAAACATGAAGTATGTGAAATTGAAAAAGAAATACTTTAAGAAGAGTTTGAGGAATTGCAAATGCAACTCAATGGCATACGCAAATCCACCAGTCATAGTTATGTCAGGTCAAACTAGGCTACTTATAAGTTAACTGGAAAAGGACCATTTAGAACAGAGTCCACTAGTACTAACACTAATGGAAGACCTAAAAATAGGTCAGGAGTTACGTGTCACTACTACAACAAAAGTGGACATAAATATTCTTTTGCCGCTTTTATAAAGCAAATGTTTCAGGATGGGTTTGGAAACCAAAAAATAATTTTGAACCTAGTAATACTAACCCCCTAGGACCCAAGCAAGCTTGGGTACCTAAAAGAAAGTAATCACTATGTTTTGCAGGAACACCACAGAGTAAGCCGCAAAGGAAAATTGTACTTAGACAGTGCGTGTTCCAGTCACATGACAGGTGATAAAAACCTGTTCAAAGAAGTTACAAAAATTGATGGAGGAAGCGTTAAGTTTGGAGATGACTCAAAAGGAAAGATAATCGGATATGAGGTAAATTTTAAGAAAACAAACTGTGCTATTGAAGATGAGATAGGTAAAATAGTCCTCCCAGGTAGAAGGTATGTAAATGTTTATATTCTTGATGGTTTTGAAAAGATAGATGGTCACATTTGCTTAATATCCATGTCTAATGATCCATGGTTATGACATAGAAAACTTGGTAATGCAAGCATGCATTTGATAGAAAAATTGTCCAAGCATGAGTTAGTTATTGGTCTACCCAAACTAAATATTTCTAGAACACATATCTGTGATGCCTGTCAAATAGGAAAACAAACCATAAACTCTTTCAAAAATAAAGATATTGTATCTACTTCTAAACCTTTGCAATTGCTTCATATGGATTTATTTGGGCCTACTAGAACTGCTAGTATAGGGGGAACAAGATATGCTTTTGTTATTGTTAATGATTATTCACGTTTCACTTGGGTGATTTTCCTATCTCATAAAGATAAAGCTTTGAAAATTTTTGAGATCTTCTGCAAAAAGGTTGAAAGAGAAAATGTATATCTTATTACAACAATTCAGAGTGATCATGGAGGAGAATTTGAAAGCAGAGCATTTGAAGACTTCTGTAATGATCAGGGATATACTCGTAACTTCTCTGCACCACGATCACCTCAACAAAATGGAGTTGTTGAGAGGAAAAACAGAACCCTCCAAGATATGGCAAGAACCATGTTACTAGATCATTCACTACCAAATCATTTCTGGGCAGAAAGAGTAAGTACAGCATGTCACATTCTCAACCGTTGTCTCATAAGGCCAATTCTGAAGAAAACCCCTTTTGAACTGTGGAAAGGTAAACGTCCTAATATTAGTTACTTTCATCCCTTTGGATGTAAGTGTTTCATTCACAATAATGGTAAGGACAATCTTGAAAAATTTGATCCAAGAAGTGATGAAGGTATTTTTCTGGGTTACTTATTAAATAGTAGATCATTTAAAGTATACAACAATGCACGATGTGTGTGGAAGAATCTGTGCATATTATATTTGATGAAAATAACCTCTTGGTAGAGAAAGGTATTATTGCAGGTGATGAAGATCAAATTCAAGAAAATTAGGAGATAAGCAAGTCACAAAATTCAACTGATGGATGTGACGTCGTGACATAGTCGACTAATGAAACCAGCAACAATCTACCAGAACCACGGAAGGAGTCGACTACTCATACAGATCGCCCAAACGAATGGAGAAGTGAACCCGAATATCCTCAAAAATTCATCATAGGAGATCCAAATAAAGGAATGAAAACCAGGGGAGCTCTCAAGAAAAAAGAAAACATAACACTAATCTCTCAGATTAAGCTAAAGAAAATAGAGGAAGCTCTTAACGACTCAAGTTGGATGCAAGCGATGCAGGATGAGTTAGATCAATTCGATAAAAATCAAGTACGGAAACTGATACCCAAACCTTAAAACGTTCCTGTGATAGGAACAAAGTGGGTTTTCAGAAATAAGCTCAATAAGGATGGAAAAGTCGTAAGAAACAAAGCCAGATTAGTTGCTCAAGGATACTCACAACAAGAAGGAGTCGACTATGACGAAACCGTTGCCCCAGTAGCTCGACTGGAATCTATACGCATTCTGTTGGCATATGCATCTTTTAAAGGATTCAAGTTATTTCATATGGATATTAAAAGTATCTTCTTAAATGATTTCATTGAAGAGGAAGTATATGTGAAGAAACCTCCTGGGTTTGTAGACTCCGAGTTTCCATATCATGTGTATAAGCTAACTAAGGCATTGTACGGGCTAAAGCAAGCTCCACGAGCATGATACGAAAGATTAAGCTCTTTTCTTATTGATCATGGGTTTATAAGAGGTAAAGTTGATACTACTCTAATTATTAAAAGATCATCAGAAGGTAATCTCATTAATCAAATTTATGTTGATGATATTATATTTGGTAGTACTAATCCTTTTATGTGCAAGGAATTTTCAAATCTTATGCAAAGTGAGTTTGAAATGAGTATGATGGGAGAACTGACGTTCTTTCTTGGACTTCAAATTCAACAATCCGAAGAAGGAACATTCATATGTTAGACTAAACACACAAAGGAGCTGATCCAAAAATTCGGCATGAGCAGTGCCAAAGCTAATGGCACACCAATGAGTCCTTCAACAAGTCTCGACAAAGGTGAACATGGAAAATCAGTTGATGAAACTAAGTGTCGTGGAATGATTGGTTCTCTTCTTTATTTAACTGCTGGTCAACCAGATATCATGTTCAGCG